GGTTGGGAGGACTCTTTAAAAAAAAAAAAAAAAAAAAAAAAAAAAAAGGAGGGTCTGAGGATGTAGCTCAATGTAGAATGCCACTGCATTCAATCCCCAGTACCAGAAAAAAACAAAACAAAAACCACGTAATTTTTTATTTCCAACCATTATATACACAACAGTATTTTTAACAAGAAGTAACATTTCTCTCAGTTTGAACCCTTTAGTGTGGTGTATTTACTTCTTTGCCCTTGTGAGGCAGGTGGCGGCACCACTGAGTTAAATCCCCAGTCCTACTTTTAAAGTACTTAGTGAAAGTGTTTTTGCTTAAGATGGTGATTAGCCTGTAGTATTTTTAAACTGTTGATATGTCATCCCTTTTTTTAAAAAGAGCTATTCTTTGGAATTTTTTTATATTTGAAAGAAAAAGTAGCAAAGCCCACTCTTTAACCAAAATGAGAATTTATCTCAGTGAGATCCTGAAAAGGGAGCCACCCATCTATAAGAGTGTATATACTTAAGATTGATCATATGTCTTAAGGAAGAAAAAAAAACCTCAAGCCTAAACATTATTTTTTGGTATCTATTATGCATCAAAATAACTTTCTCAAAAAACAAAAGAATGACTGTTTGGTCTGTATTATGTTCTTCTTGGAGTTTAAAATATTTTAGAATAGCTGAATGGGAATGATTTTGTTTCTGTAATATGTATTTTAAAATACAGCTAATTATAAGAAATGGAAACAATACCAAAGTAAAAAATAAAAGCTCCCTAGTAAGCTAGTCTCAAGTTACCACTACAAATACTATTTTGCAGTAAATACTTTGAGATAATTAGATTCATGAATAATCATATACTTAACTGAATCTAAGATGTTATCAATTGTAAGACCGTGTATAGCTTTAGGTTAATAAAAACAATGCCATTGTACATTCTATTAATATACTTCTGTGTAATGACTTGGGGAGAATAACAGTTTACATTTTGGTACATTTTAACTTTCCTCCAAAGATCTGTAACAGTTTGTTTTACAACCAGTAGTGCAAGATGTTCTAGATTCTTAATAGTTGTTTTTTTTTTTTTTTTTTTTTTTTTTTTTTTTGTACCAGGGATTGAACTCAGGTCCTTGCGCTTGCAAGGCAGGCCACCGAACTGCTGAGCTAAATCCCCAGCCCAATGTTCTAGATTCTTTGCAGTATAATGTACAGATAATAATCCTTTTTCATTTTTCTAACTTAAGAGGCAAAGCACACATTTCATTGTTCTTTCTCTCCCCCACCCCCAATATTGGGGATTGAACCCAGGACCTTCACACTGAGCTACATTCCCAGCCTATTTATTTATTTATTCTCTCATTGAGTTTATTGGTACATTTTAAGTATACAGTACAGTTACATTCATCATTGGAATCTTGTACCTTTACATGACAGGTCTTGGTTCTCATTTTTTTTGCCTTTTTATTTTTTAAATTTTGATATAGGGACAAGATCTTGCTAAATCATTAAGTTGTCCAGGCTATGTGCCCCACCACATCCAGTTTTCATTTTCCTTTAATTCTTGTTTCTGTGTCTTTTGCAGAAGTTGTGTCTCTTTCTAGATGCTTCCTGGTAGCTTGTATTTCTTCTTCTGTGAATTAGTCATGGTAACCATATTGTTTATATCTAGTCACTAATTCTTTTTCTGAACAAGATCTAATAGGCTCTATCTGTGTTGGCAAACCTGTCAATGAGCTTGTCAGGAATGAGTAGCACAGTATCATGCCCAGGGGCCCCAGCTGAACAGAGACCAGCAGCCACATTGATTTTTGTTTAATTAACATAGTTGATACTTCTTTTTTAGCTATGAAGTGAGAATGAGTTCAGTCACATGAGAAAATAATATTTGGGGAGTGCCTTAGTTCATTCAGGCTGTTATAACAAAATGGGTGGCTTATAAAAAACAGAAATTTATTTCTCTGCGTCAGGAGGCTAAGTCTAAGATTAAATCCCCAAAGCTGGCCTGGTGGCACAGGCTTGTCATCCCTGCACTGTGGGAGGCTGAGGCAGGAAGATCGTAAGTTTGTGCACAAGCTGGGCAATTTATCAAGATCCTGTCTCAAAATAAAAAATTACAAATGGGCTGAAGGGATAGCTTAGTAATAAGTCCCTGAGTTAAATCCCCAGTACTTGGGGGACTAAAAGGTGCCAACAAATGAGCTCCTTTCCTGGTTCATAGATGGTGATATTTTTGCTGTGTCCTAATGTGGCAGAAGAGGTGAGGGCTCTGCCCTCAAAACCAAATCACTCACAAAACGGGAAAAGAAAAAAATGTGAGAGAATGAAAAGATGAAAATAAAGTGTTTGTAGATGGGGAGGGGAGGAGGGGGTGAAGGGAGGGCAGAGGTAAGGGGAAAAAATGAGAATCAAGACTTGCCATGTAAAGGTACATGATCCCAACAATGAATGTAACTGTACTGTATCCCTAAAATGTACCAATAAACTCAATAAAATTTAAAAAACAAAACAAAACAAAACAAAAAAAAACCAAATCACTTCCAAAAGGCCTACTTCCAAATACTCGCACATTGGGGATAGTTTTCAGCATATGAATTTGTCGAGGTGGCAAGGATACAAACTGCCTGGGAGAAACAGGAAGATTAAGAGATTACCAAATTGTAAATTATTTATTTGTTTTTGTTTTTCTTTTTGGTACCAGGGATCAAACTTGGGACCTTGCGCTTGCAAGGCAGGTGGTGGCACCACTGAGCTGAATCCCTGGCCCTGTTTTTCTTTTTATTTTGTAGTGCTGGAAACTGAATCCAGCCTCAAGCATGCTAGGCAATTGTTCAATCACTGAGCTATATCCTCAGCCTACAAATCATAATTTAAAAAAAAATTACTTTGAATAATTCTGAGTTTTTCCAAAGGAATAGACTTAAAGAAGTCATGAGAATATGTGTAGATGTAATTATATCCAATAGTCAAAAATAATTTCAATTGGAGTTTATAAATTTTCACAGTACAGTATTTTAGTTCAAGTGATGACTGAAATCCTCAACACCTTTCATCTTGACTAGTGCTGCTATACACAGTTTAGATCTTCCCAGTTATCTCTGTAATTGTTGGCATATCTAGCAATTTACTCATTTATGGTTATCTTAATTAAGGATGAAAAACTCCCCAATTATTATTATTATTTTTTTAAAACTCCCCAATCATTAAATGCAAGAGGAGCCTTTGATTCCTGGTAACCTGAAAAGAAATATGGTTTTCCAATCTGGAATTGGAATTTGTTGGTTAGAGAAAAGGTGATGAGAGTAATCATATTCTAACTAGGCCCTTTATTTTTTTTTGTATCTGTCTTTATTTTAATTCAGAACCCCAAAGTATTACTTTCTTTATTGCACTCTTTAAGAACTTGGTAAAGGAAAGAAGAAATATTAGGTGATCAAATCTTTCTTTGTTTTTCTTGCTCTTTTTTTTTCTTCAAATTTTCCTTTTTTGGTACTGGAGATCAAACTCAGATGACATTTGTTTTGTTTTTCTGTTTTGTGTGTTTTTTGTTTTTGTTTTTTTTGGTTTTTTTTTGGTATGGGGAATTGAACTCAGGCTCTTGTGCTTTTGAGGCAGGCAGCAGAACCACTGAGCCAAATCCCCGGCCCTCATCAGGGATCAAACTCAGGATCTTGTGCTTGCAAGGCAGGAGCAGTGCTGCTGAGCTAAATCTCCAGCCCCCAAATTCCCCCCCTTTTTTTAAACTGAGCTAAATCCCCTTTTTTCTTTTAAAATTTCCTTTTTTAAAAAGCCCTGGCAGTCACTCTTCTAAATAAGGGTGAAGATGACAAAAGTGAGGCTGTTGATACAGTGGACAACAGCTGGATTTTCATATTGTCTTGGATTTCCTTAGAGTTACAAAATTGTGGCAATCTGACTCTTCATCACAATTAATGAGATCCAAAAGTAGACTACGTGTCTACTTAGGGGAGGGACTTTCTGCAGAGCAGGTCAGCTGTCTTACTTTTCTTATTGCTGAGACAAAAAACCTGACATCCATAGTTAAAGGAGGAAAGGTTTATTTCAGCTCATAATTTGTCCAAGTTTCAGTCCATAGTCAGCTGGTTCCCATGCAGGGGAGCATGGCAGAGGGGCATCACAAAGGAGAAACAGTTCATGGCAAGTCAGGCAGGAAGCAGCAAGCAGCAAGCCTGCCTCCTTTCCCTTTATATTCCATGCAGGCTGTAAGCCACCCACACCCAAGGTGGGGCTTCCATTATCCACACCTAGAACTATGCAGAACCCATTTAGTTATCACATACCCTTAATCCTATTATCACACATCCTAGAGCTAGTCAGCTCCAAAAAGCCTCTCACAGATGAGTGCATGAAACTTTGCGGGTATATCTGGATACAAGCCAGAGGACTGGTTTTGTTCTGCCAGCATTGTTGAGTCCTGTGCTGAACCAGGACCTGGAATTACTAAGAAAAGAGATAGACGTAGTCCCTATTCCTGGTGTGGTAACAGTTTATTATGGCTACTATTCCACTCTCAACTCACAGCGATATCATGTCAAGGACAGCAACAGAGCCCAAAAGAAAGTGTTCTAGAACACAGAGGAAGAATCAATTGTTTAGTGAGAGGCTTCTCCACGAGGGTCAACAGGAATATTATAGGGAGGAGTGAGAGTTTGCCAGTGATTGCTTTGTTGGATCAGTGCTCTCCAACTGTAAATGAATGACCTTGTAACTTCCTTTTCTAATGGTGAGAATCTGGCTCCCATTATCCTCCATATATTTCTTTGCTCATTTTCTCTCTCTCTCCTTTTTTTCGGAGACAGGGTCCTAATACGTAGTTCAGGCTGGCCTCAAACTCACTATGTAGCTCAGGCTGGCCTCAAACTCACAGCGATCCTCTTGTCTCAGTGTCCCAAGTGCTGGGATTACAGGTGTAAGCCACCATGCCTGACCTGCTTGTTCTCCCTTTATATAACCAATCTCTTCACCTCATAAGCCACATCCTTGGCTCAGTTTCTCCTTAGATGTAGTCCTGCTGGCCCCTCCAACTTCCTGACAGCCTTAACCAACGAGATATTTTTAGAGCAGGAATTCAATCTCAAAGCTATTAATTACTTGAGGGAAGATGCACATGAAAAAGAGGCTCTTAGGCCAGTGAGATGAAGATTTAACTGGCAGAGTGTCAGCCCCTAGTGTTATGCCTTCCACAAAACATGTGAGGATCAGAGTTGGAGACAGCCAAATGCTGCTACCTACTAAGAACCACAGTGAGAGGATTTTCCAAATTTGGTAAGTCTCAGAAACCAGCCAACCAGTCATAACCACAGCCACCCCCCAACCCCAGCCTTATGGCCTCTGACCTGTTCCCCAAATATCCCTCTATGTTTTGTTATTCTGTCAAGAAGACATTGCATGAAGACAAAAATGTCTCTGTGCTCTATTTTTAAAGAAGGAAATACTGCTTTTATTAGCAGCTTCTGAAAGTAGAATTCTAGGAGATGGATGATGGTGTTTACTGTTTTAGTGTTGACTTCATTTCCTGGTCCAGAAGACCAGAAATCTGTGTGTATTTAAGAAAACAGCATGAGAACCATCTGTTTAGGTCAGATTTTTCTACATTAACGTGAAGATTTATGGAGTGGTAACTTATGTAAGAAAAGCCAATGGTAATTACGTTATACTTTTTGCTGCCACTTGGAATCTACATTATATTTTTGGTCAATCATGAAAATATAGTAATATATACATATATATGTATATATATTTATACACACATTGAATTCTTTTACATACTTTAGTAAAGACATCCTCCTCTATTTGTGAAGTCTTTCACCTCTGTTTTTGTTTGGGTACTAGACACCATCTATTCAGGGTTTCTATGTAATATGGTCTGTTTATCCACAGTTTTCTTCCCACAGAAGGATGAAAATACAAGCACTACAGTTGACTTCCTGGGAACTGTTCTAGGCTGCCTAAAATACAAAATAAAGATTCACTTTGAACACATTTTAAAATTTTAAAGTAAACACATATTTCTATATAAAATAAATTTAAAAGAAAATAATAATAAACAAATAATTAAAATTCTACTATTCACAAGTGTGTGTCAGAATCATACTATGAATATTCTTTCATACCTTTCCTTTTCTTCAGCAACGTGACGTGAAATTTTTCTTATATATAGTCACATACGTTATCCTTTTGGGTGTCTTTGTTTTTTGTTTTATTTTGTTTTTTGGTACCGGGGATCAAACTTGGGTCCTTGCACTTGCAAGGCAGGCGGCGGCACTACTGTGCTAAATTCCCGGCCCCCTTTTGGGTGGCTTTGTAATATTACATTGATCTTTTTACTTGATCCTTCCCCCACTAATAAGCAATTAGATCAGTTCCTAGTTTTCATTGTATAAGGGCAGCCATTTAGCTCAGTGGCAGCAAGCCGGCTTGGCAAGAGCAAGGTCCTTAGTTTGATCCCCTGTACCAGGAAAAAAAAGAAAAATATCTTTTCATGTACATTTTATGTAATTTACTGATTATCTTCTGAGGATCTATTCTTAGAAATGGAATGGCTAGTCAAAGAGCTCATACATTTTAAATTTTGATACATGCTGCTTTTGATGGATTGATTACCTTATCCCTGTTCTTTGTATACAATACTCTTGTGGATGATCAAATTTGGTAAAGTTTCTCTTAAACTTTGCCATAGCATTGTATGTGTGTGTTCTCTTACAGATATTAAAAGAGTAAAGTGATTTTAATGAAATTAAGTATCCTACATTTCTAACCATGCTCATCGAGTTTGCTCAAAATTTGACTTATTTAGTTTAGTCTGAAACAAGAGGGCACCTGATTATCATTTCTTAAAGGCCTTAGTGATTTGATGAAATAGTACAGGGGAAGAGGTGACTAATTTTGAATTAACTCATTTGCTATTTCCCTAAGTCTTGACCCCCCAGGGGGCTTCAGGCTTGGCTTTCACATAGATGGCAGCAAGAACAGGGCAAATGTGAGCAGCTGGTGAAGGATTTGAGAACAGACTGTTGATCCTGGAGTGTTTCTTTTTTGACAAGGGATTGTTGTATATCCTGGAGGTTAGAAGGCATCTTTGAACTCAGCTGGCCTGTTTAATGCTCTCTCATAAGAGTTAAATGATAAACAACCAAGAAGTACAACTCTTAACAACCATATTGGCATAGCCTAGTAATTTGCTTTCTATTTAATTAGCATCTAACCTAGTTGGTGATTTAACTATTTAGATGCATCAAAAAAAGCATGAAAATAGAAAAGGATCATTTTATTCCTGCCGTTTCCCTCTCCATTAGCAGATTCACCCAGCACAGCTGAATTTAAAGGTGCTGATTCACTGCAAACTGATCTGTTTAAAAATTTTTTAAGACAGTAGGAAAGTCTATGGTAGATAATAAATGTGTTCATTAAGGATGACATATTTTATGCAAATTGGTAAATCCACTACTTGAGAGATTAGAAAGGCTCTTTTCTGGAAAGGGAAGTGTCACTTACAAAGTGAAAGACTTGCATTCCAGCAAGTTCTTAGCTGCCAGCCAACACAGTCATTAGTGTGCCAGAATGGATTTTAAAGCATCACAACATAAACTGCTCGGTTCCAAATCAAGCATCATCGCCTTTATACAAGCCAAATCAACCTACTTTGAAAACTGCCACATACGACCTTTTTAACCTTTTCCTTTCCTGGTATGGGTGGTCTACAAATTATAGTCCACAAAAGTCAGTAACCACCGAGCAGCAAGGTGTCAGCCTTCTCAACTAATGGGTCCAATTGCTTTGAAGGTGATAACAATGTTTGGCCCGGTTCTAACCAGACTGATCACTCCTATCCCTATCTTTCCTTTTTGATATTTTTTGCTCTTATCTGTTTTCTTCATCTGAGTCTTTTTCTCTTCCAAAGCTAGCTGCTGCAGATGTCTTGCAGTGCTCACACACTGACAGCTTCTGGCAATCCCTTCCTCAACATTTTGCTCTAGAGCTGTCAGCCAAGTCTCCAGCTTGAATTTGGGCTAACCTTTCTGTTTGGGGCACCCAATGCCCTCTTCTCACCCAGTTCCATCAGATCTCTTTCCTAACTTCTCAGCTCCATGGCCCTTAACTATGATTTTTTTTTTAACCTCTACTACAACCCCAACTGACCTAGCCCAGAAAAATCCTCAGACCTCTTCCATTCTTCCACCGCTCAGTTCTGCCCAGCTTGTCTCAGCCCCTTAAACCACATCCTACTTAGCTATTCCCAGTATGGACCCTTCTAGAATCTATTATCACCTTTCCTAGTTCAATAAATAAGAAGTTTTCATTCCCAACTCAGGCTGTGACATCCCCATCTTCAACCTAGCTCAGCCCCTGAAGCAACCTTGACCAACACCCTCTTGGGAACCTTCTGCTTTTCAGCCCAAAATGAGGATCCTTTCCCACCTAGGTAGTCCCATTTAAACTGATTTTATCTAATGTGCTAGGAGTTTGACCCCCAGTCCGGGGGGGGGGCAGAATCACATGTAACAAGAAGCCAAATAAGTATTTTGATAGGACAGTTTATACTGAGTGATACCAACTGAGTGTTTGATAGTGTTTGATAAAAGAGTGGAAAACAAAGACCAGACCAGAACCATAACAAGCCCTTATTATGGGAAGGATCTGCAGGGCTGTCTCTAAACAAAGGAGAGAAAAGCAACAAGGCAACATAGGAAGCTTCTTTTATAGAAGCAGGGCATGGATAGCCTAAACTGGGGTGGAGTTGAGTGAGGTAGTATTAAGAGACTGGAGGAGCCTGTGACATCACTAGCTGTTAGGAGGCGGCAAGTATTAGGTTACTCTTGTTGGGAGAAGAGGCATGAAGACTATCCTTTGTTGGGAGAAGCCATATTTTAACATGGAGGCTGCTTTTCTATGTGGCAGCCATCTTAAGGCAAGGGAAATCTAACCGATAGGACCACTGTTTCAAAGCTTTATTTACATGAGAGAGAGATAACTTGAGAATTTGGGATATGAAAGGCCACTTTCCCTTATCCTCAGAGCTCTGTGATTCTTGTGGCCAGCCTGCTCTCAGTTTGCTAAGAATACTTCTTTGCCTTAAATAAATGTATACTTCTATTGCCGGAAAAAAAAAATCTTTCTTACTCCGAAAAATATAAGATGCAAGGGCCAGGGATTTAGCTCAGTGGTTTTGCCACCAGCCTTGTAAGCCCAAGGGCCCAAGTTTGATCCCTGGTACCAAAATAAATAAATAAATAAATAAATAAATAAATAAATAAATATAAATAAATAAATAAATAAATAAATAAATAAATAAAAAGCTGTAGAAGATAATCACTTTTTGTTAACATACATAGAAAATGCTAAGTAATTAAATAATTACTTTTAATACAGGATGCAGGATGTAAAAATGTCATATTTCTGGTATTCAGATGACTACTTTCAAGTATTTTGAAATAAAGACATTTTCCATATTTCATAAAGCTACTTCTAATATGGTAACATTTATTAATCTTAAGTTCAATACATTAATCTAGGTGTAATACATTTTGAAAATAAAAAATAGTACAAACTAATAATTTTTTGTCTTTAATATTTCAAATACTTCCAATCTTTCAGTGAACATGCTTACCCTACTTGTTCAATCCCATTTCATTGTCATTTCCTTTTTCCTTCCTTGCTGAGTAGTTTGAGATTTGTCTCACATGCCAAGGAGGTATGAGGAGTGGGATTCAAAGCCTTGCTTTTACATTGAAATTTCTTAAAAAGATATAGCTCAAAATCAGAGTTTTCTCAATCTAAAAACTTTGTACAGGCACTGATGATCCTTCTGCACTCTGGCTGATCTTTCTGACAATCCTAGGCCAGCATGGGGCCAGCACAGAATCTAGGAACAGTCTCTGCAGACTGGCAGAGTGGTTCCTCAGGGATCTGGAACTGGTGTCTTCCGCACTGAGCCCCAGAAATGCAGCTGAGTAACAGTCAGCAGTCAGTCTCAAAGATGAGACCAAGACAGAAAGAGGAGAATGAATAGAGAGTTTATTGTAGCTGATAGCAGGATGGGACAAAGTTCAAGAGACAGCTATAGAACACCACAGTTAAATACAATATTTTTGTTGAGTCAACATATATTAAATATGCTCTATGTGGTAGGAATACAAATATGAATGCAAACTCTCTAGACTTCATGTAATTCACAGATCTCTCCTGCTGCTTTTAGGTGGTGCCTGGATGTATTAAGGAGTAGACAAGGCAGATTAAAGGAGCCACTTTGAGCTATGTACAACCCC